GGAAAAAATCATACAGACTTCTGAATTATAAAATAAAGGATGTGTCATGGTTTTCCTGATAGAGACAATGGGTAGGTACCTGAAGTGATGACATTGATGCCTTCTTTTTGCCACGTAATGAAAGGACTGGGTGTCCCTGTTGCTTCACATGGTAGTAAAATGGGATTGTTTAGAATGACGTCCAGCTCACTTGGTTGGGGCTGAATAACTGGAGGCTCTATAAAAGTTAATCAACAAAAAAAGAAGTAAAGGCACTCACTAGTTCATGGCAGGAATGTCTCTTGTAGTGATGAGTTTAAATATGCCCAAATTCATAATGACAAAATAGTAGTGATTTGACTGGCTAAGAGAAAAGTGAATATTGGCTACCCGACATTCTCCACCTCCATTGAAAGACCAGAAGCAGGAACAGGTAGGACAAATTTGAAAAGAAAAATAATTTGGAGTTTGTTCTAAGTGGTTTTCCATCTATGTGCCTTTTTTAGCCTACTGAAAAATATTTTCCAGGCTTTTATATCCCTTAAGATATTATTGTGGTTCAAAGCTCAGACAGTATCACCCTTCAAGAATTAATGCAACTAAAAAGACCCCCAAACCAAAATAAACCAAAACAAAACAATACCCCCAAACCTACAAAGGTTTTGATGAATCAAACAACCTTCCATACCTTGAACATGAAGGGTCACGTGTCGATGAACAGAACCAGCTGAATTCCTAGCGACACAAGTATATCTTCCAGCATGGTTTAATTGGGCAGCAAATATTTCAATTGCTCCTAAAAAGAAAAAAGTTTTAATTATAGTGTATCCTTATTTTTCTAGTTCAGTGAATTATGACTTTATCATTTGTGTGTGTGTGTTTTCTGTACCTTGCTGGTGGTGCATAGCTTATATGCATCTTCGCATCCCCTGAAGTGCCTAGCACAGTTCTTTATTATTATTCTTCACAGCCTTATTAACATGTAATTTACATACTTTCAGAGTCCCCCACTTAAATGTCTCATTCAGTAATTTTTAGTACCTTTACAGAGTTCTGCAACTATCACCACAATCTAATTTTAGAATATTTCCATCACACTACGAACAAAGTACTGATCTACTTTCTGGTTCTATGAATTTGCCTTTTCTGAACACTTCATATAAATGGAATCATACAGTGTGGTATTTTGTGTCTAACATCTTTTACTGTGAGCATAATGATTTTGAGATTCATATGTTGTAGCACGTACCAAAATTTTGTTCCCTTTTGTTGCCAAATAGAATTTCATTGCCTGGATACAACACAATTTGTTTATCCATTCATTAGTACGCATAAATACCAGTACACATAAAGATCAGACATTTGACTTGTCTCCACTTTTCAGCTATGGTGAGTGATGCTGTAGGAACATTTGCATCCAAGCCTTTGTGTAGACCTATGAGGTCTGTCCAGAAAGTATCCATCCATATGTCTATATCTTTCATATTAGGTGGCTAGATACTTTCTGCATAGCCCATGTACATTTCCCTTTCTCTTGGATAATTACCTAGGAATGGAGTTGTTGGGACTTTTGGTAACTCTGTTTAACGTTTTAAGAAAGTTCCAAAATGTTTTCTTAGTGTAATAGTTTGTTCAAAAGAATAGTTAACTGATATTTTATGATTTCAATTGCTACCCATCTATATAGGTTTCTGAGAAAGCCTAAATACTTTGTGTTGAAAGCCAGTTGCATCCCAAGAACACATCTTCTACTATTTCCTTTCTATTGAAGAAGTAAATAAATTCTCTTAGAATAATACACACAGACTCCCAAAGTCCCAGGAGAGCAGGTGCTACTTTAGTTTATCTCTTGTGTACCTCCCCAGTGCAGGACAAGTTTTCAGAAATACCAGTGTGAATCCTCTATAATTTTATTTAGGTGAATTATTTCATTTTCTCCTCAGTGTTATAAATTATACACAGGATGGTTACTACCACCATAAAAAATTTTCCTTCAGAGCCTTTATCACCCATCCTTGTCTTACCTGCTCAATTTTAAAAGTTTTGGAAGCAAGAACCCTGTCTTAGTTTTATAGTCTCAAAAACTTAGTAGAATATATAGTCTTAGGTACTACATGTTTGAAAAAGGAAGAGACATTGTTCTTGGCCCATGAAAGACTGTGATTCACTCATAGGTACAAACTTAGGTTAAGTAAGTATTTGCACATAAATACCAGTGATAATGCTTATTATATTCATATCAGTTGTATTATTTGTTGTTTTGTTTCCAGAGTTCTTTTCTTCTCTTCCTTTCCCTAGCTCTCCTTCCTACTCTAACTGCATTCATTCCAAATGCTTAAGTCCAGGAATACACACATATTTTATTCTTTATTCTGGTGCAACAAAAGGCCAGGTAAGGCCACCCATTCCTAACTAATTTAATTAATGGATGAGACATCCTTGAGCTTGGTCTTACCTGAGGACAGAATTCTATAGCCATCTCCCCTGGGAAGCAGTCTTATGCCATTTTTGGTCCAGTGAATGGAGGGAAATGGAACTCCAGAAGCAGTACAGGTAATTACCGCTGGGGCGTGTTTGGTTATGAGGAAGTCTGTAGGCTCATCAGCAATGGAAGGTGGAACTAAAACAATAATAAGAACAAAAAGAAAAAAGAACTACCGGTACAAGCTTCCAATCCTTCCAGATTTCCAAAGCCTTATCATACCTTTTCCTCTTTCTTTTCAGAAAGTAAATGTTAGGTAAACAGAAAAGGAACCTTTCCTGGGAAGTAGGGGTATGTGAAGAAACAGCAATATAGTAACTTTCAATCCATGGTATAAGCCAGTTCTACCTTGGACAGTGAGGTCTATGGTTCTCTTATCTTCTCCAGCATCATTTGTCACAGTGCACTCATAAGTTGCAGTGTCATCCACAGAAGGGGAGATAATCACCAGTGAACCTGAAGAAAGAAGCCTAGGAGACAGATTTCAAAGCATGAGATACTATGTGCACATACATACAGGATTTCATAAAGTTCTCTGGTTGGTTCAACATGGTGCCATGTTGTGAATTGACAGAACTAGCACTCCTCCTGTGTGTTTGAAGGAGCTTCATGTCTCTGAAGCAAACTCTGTGTGTTAGAGTTAAGTTTACATGGCAGGGTGAACAGGGCCTCAAACTTGAAATAATTACAGGAGGCAGCTGGGCGGAGGGATTGTCTGAAGAGGGAATCTTGCATTCTCTGAATGCTTACATCATGATTAACCTTGTTTTTCTGGAAGATATACAGTGTAACAAGACAGTGATGACAGCCACTGAGTATTCCTGGCACCATCTCAAATGCTTCATATAAATTATCTGTAAATTAACAATAATTTTGCAGGTTGGTATTTGATTATTTCTATTGAAAGATGGGTAGCAATAGGTTTGTCTATCACATTCCTTTCACTGTTTCACACGTTCCCTTGAATGCAATGGCTTCCTTGGAGGTACATTTTATACATGCACACACACACACACATACACACACAGAAGAGTGAAGGGAAGGGAGGAGTAAAGGATAAGAACTCATTCGTTGGGTAAAACATGTGTTCAGGTTACGGACATCATAAGAGCTTGACTTGACCATTAGGCAATCTATGCATATAATGAGCTTGGCACTTACACGCCATATATTTATATAAATAATAATTATATATATAATGTATATATACCAATTCAAAAATAGAACAATCTGGGTATTGGGGTATAAAAACTGCAGCCTTGGGGCACATATGGCCTTCTGGATCCTTGAGTGTAGCCTTTGACTAAACCCAAATTTTATAGAACAGATTTTTTTTTTTTTTCAGTTTTTGGCCAGGGCTGGGTTTGAACCTGCCACCTCTGGCATATGGGGTTGGCACCCTACTTCTTTGAGCCACAGGCGCTGTCCAGAACAGATCCTTTTAATAAAGGGATATGTTCAGTGAAGTTTGGTTTTGGTTGAAGGGCCACACTGGGGAATCTGGAGTGTCACATGTAGCCTTGAGGCTTCAGGTTCCCCACCTCTATGCAGCTGCCATTAAAGACATGACATAAAGTAAATATAAATTAAAATGACTATTTTCTTACTTCAAACTTTGCACCAATAGAATAGAAGTGATTTGATTTCATGGAAACATTATTTGCTATGCATTTTAATTCAAAAGCATGGCACATTTCCCATAGTGTGGATACTTTCAAGACACTGAACTGCCAAAAGATTAGAAGGGTGAGAAGCAGAGAAATGAACGAATTGCAACTGAAGCTCTCCTAGTTTCACATTTCCCAGTATGTCAGAAATTATTTTTGTCCCAGTGGACCTAAGACAGTGACTTTTTTGTTTGTTTGTTTGTTTGTTTGTTTGTTTTTGCAGTTTTTGGCCAGGGCTGGGTTTGAACCCTCCACCTCTGGCCTATGGGGCCAGCACCCTGCTCCTTTGAGCCACAGGCGCCACCCAGAGAGTGTTTTTAGTATTATAGCAAATCACTTTTCAGGATAACTATCTACTAGCTCAATGGAGATATAAAAAAAAAGATGCTCCCCTAAAGCATCAGACATTCTTACTGATTTAAAGTTCAGCCTTTGAAAAGCTGACATGGCCACGTGATGAGCTATGGTAGTAAAGCCGGAGGAATTCAAAAAATTAGAGAAAATGCTGTTTTCCTTCCCCACAGGCTGCCAAATATCTAAATTGTATTTCAAGCTATGAAATTTGATTTTCATTGTGTAACTAAAGCATATCTTTATTTTTACAGAATAGTTTTTCTTTTATATCAAATAATGTGCTTTAATCCTTTGTCTTTATGCAATTATAAAAGGTAATAAATAAATCAGGATAGAAAGCGCATCCTGTAGACTTCAACTGACAGTCATCCACAGGGTTTCTGTATGGAAAGGTTGAACCTACAATTCAGAAAAAGGTTGCAAAACTAATTCCAGATTAAGGAAAAAAATACTGTCTCTGTGTTAACTAATTTTTTGTACTTTATAAATTTGCCTCCCCCACTGATAGAGTTAAAATGTTGATTCTTTTAAATAATGTTTTTAAATACAGGAGAGATTTTTCAACCAATGCATCCTTACCTGTATGAATTCTGATTTTGATCCACATTAAGAAGGTGCCCATTTTTTCTCCAGTGGATTGATGGTTTTGGTATCCCCGTCGCCTCACAAGCCAGAGTAGTTTGAACATTTACAGTTACAGTTATGTTGGTCAGACCCGGAGAAATAGATGGAGGAACTAAGAAAAGAAGAGGAAAACACGTTTAGCAGATAGGATGCCATTTGAAGTGTTTCTGCCAAACTTAAATTAGTCATCGGCAACTTGCCTCATAGTTCAAATACAAGGCTCTGAATTTTGATAGTGTTGTGATGGTGTTCACTACAGTGAAAAGCAAACGCAGGGTGGGACTCTCATAATATGCATACAATGTAATATGCTTAATAGTTGTCAATGTCAAGGTCTCCGTGACATCACTAGCTTAGGCTGTTAAAGAGCATTTAACACAAAGACTGAATGTTGTTTATAAAACTGTATTTACCATGGACCTGTAAATCTATTCTCCTGTGATCTGTTCCAGCAGCATTGGTGGCCATACACAAATACCGCCCAGTGTCAGTAACTTGTGCTGATTGAATATGAAGGAATCCATTTTCCAAGACAGAGTATCTGTGAGAAAAATCACAAGTGAAGTTTCCTGGATCTGTCTTTTTGATTATCCCATTTTGACTGGGAGAAACTTTAGATTTAGTGAAACCCATTTTCACTCCTTTTCCTGTTTCGGATGACACATATTTACAATATTCTTGGAGATAGAAAAGGATAGGAAGCAAAGGTGCCTTACACATGGGCCTTTGCTTATGAATGGATTATAGTCATTAGTTAGACATTCTCCTTAGGAATTATGCTTTTGAAATACTAAATTTTGATTCTTATATTACGACAAAAGGATAACTCTAAACACAAGACCAAAATACAATGCATTGGAAAAAAGATGTAAGGATTAATATTTCAATGCATACAGCATTTTTCATCCTTTTCCAAAATTGGTACCTTGCATGATTCCCAGATAGAACAGCTCCATCCTTCCTCCATGTTATCCTTGGGGTTGGGACACCTTCCGCAATGCATTCCAGTAGAGTTGACTTACTTAAGAGAATGATTAGACTCTGGGAGCCACCTTTTATGCTTGGAGGAACTGAACAAGAGATACCCGTAAAAAATCAGTTATACTAAATAACATAGTCTGAACTAAGACCTTAAAGATGTAATACAAGATGGGCTTTGAGTCAAATGTATAGCTTTGTCTACACTAATCTAGGTTTGTGTAAATAGAATTGAAGATTCAATTCCTGAAGTCTTACTCAAGATACTTTGTGTATAAAAATAAAGGGTAGATGGGGAGGGGAATTTAAATCCCTGATATGGTGTATGAAATCTGGCTCTCTGTGGGAGAGGCTTAAATAAAAATCAGCTCTGGTCTGATGCAAATTAAAGATGATATTTCTTATTTCTTGTTGGCCAAATAACGGTCAGAGAATGTTAACACTGGAACCACTTCACTTTAAATAAAGAACAGAAAGTGGGCTGTTTTAACAAAAGAGCACATCTGTGATTAATCATGCAAGTCTCAGAGCATGCATCTTATTAATCATTGAGTTCATGTGGGAATAGAAAGTGTGGATTTTAATTTTAGTATTGGAGATTTTAGTTGTGGTCACCCAATATCCTGGATAGTTTCATAAAATTTTACCTTCATTAAAAATCCAGGGGACTATTTTAGAGGAAAAGTCTATTTAACTTTCTGAATTTTGTCAA